ACAGCAACCTCAAACTCTTGGGCTTAAGCAATTCTCTTGCCTCAGCCTCCCAAGTAGTTGGAACTACAGGTGTCCACCACAATGCCCAGCTATTTTTTGTTGCAGTTGTCATTGCTGTTTGGCAGGCCCGGTGAACCTGCCTGCTCTGGTGTATGCGGCTGGCGCCCTAGCCACTGAGCTACAGGCGCAGAGCCTGTTTTCTTAATTTTATCAACTACAAATTAACTCACTTTTTAAAATTAAATTTATCCTAAGTAATTATCATCTGTGATATTACAATTTGATACCTTATCTGTTAAAAGAGTTAATACAAGTTAAAATAAATATTTAATGTTTAAAAGAAGTTTTTTGTATGCTAACTAAAGCCAGTAATGAAGTGAACTAAAATTTGCTCTAATTCATGTTTAAGTTATGGTATCAGCTTTCAAAAGTTTTCCATTTGGCACTCTCAAGCTCAGATACATTGTCTGTCTGTCAACATTTGTATGTTTAAGGATGGCTTACATTCCATTCATGAGTATCTTCTATTCTCTAAACTTCTCCCTTTACTCCTCACTCACTCCCCAGCCCCCAAAGAGTATCTTTTATCTGGGGATCACCACAAACCACAGCAAGGTGGCATGACTTCATTTCTAATCAACTCTCTGAAACCAGCAGAGTTGGGGCAAAACTCTTGTTGGGAGTAGCACCTGTGGCTCAAAGGAGTAAGGCACCAGCCCCAAATACTGGAGCTTCAAACCCAGCCCTGGCCAAAAACTACAAAAAAAAAAAAAAAACCTCTTGTTGGGATACACACAGACACATGTATATGCATGTATACAGACATGCATACACACAAATGAGTTTTTATATATATATATATATGTCTGCATGTATGTGTTTGTGTATTCATCACAATAATCCTATGATTGGTTGGTTTCTTGCTTTTCCAGACAAGGAAATGAGGCACAGAGCAGTTAGTAGCTTTTCACTATCACAGAACTAACAAGTAGTGATATTCAAGCTTTGAAGAAATCTGACTTGAGGATCTGTGCTCCTATTACCCTGGGGTTTGCAAATGCTATAAATAGATGGAAGTTGGAAGAGACACATGTTTTACGGTCACAAACACAGATTCCTATAAGTCAAGATCTTCACCCCTGGGATTCAGAAGCTGGGGCAAGCAACATCCCCTAATACAGGGAGGGATGGATGGCAAGCAGAATCATTCAGAAAGCCCCATAAGTCATCTCTGTGAATTACAGTGGGGAACTCATCTCACTTAGAAGGAAGGAAAAACAGCACAAAAATCCAAGAGAACACAGATTCCTATAACATAAAGAGAGAGGATGGACAGATGGATGCATGGATGGACAGACGGATGATAAGCAAACAGATAATAAAGGTGTACACTGTATACCATCCCAGGAGGGGCTTATTATGTAGCTGAAATCACGTCAGCTGCTCTCAGAGGCAACCTGGGGACCTTATTCTCATCACTGGGACACAAGCTACAAAGTGAGCTGTTCTCCTGGTCTAATTATGTGACCTCTGCTTGCAAGTATTCTGCAGTCTGGAAAAAGATAAGAATCCACTTACATGTACTCCCTATGGGCAGAGTGCACAGCGGCCGCATTGCTGTAACGCCACAAGACAATCGCCGACGACAGGACGTCAAGGATGGCATCAAACTAGGAGAAGAAGACATGGCATTAGTGGGTTTTCAGAGTGAACACGTCATCACTGTGAAGACACAGGGCAACTGTGCTGTGACTCAGAATACCTGAACGAGTGACCTCAGAGCAAAGAGACATCCTATTGTTATGGTGTAGCCACTCCTGGCCCTCACAGTGGAGCCTGCGATGTGGGGGGCTCAGGCCATCCAACAGGCTACCTTCGGGGGAGTACTATTTCCCTCCCCTGCTCCCATGAGCTGAGAAGCTACACTCTCACGCTATGGGGCAGGGGCTAGGGACACACTGTTCTGAAATGTAAGGAATCAGTTTCCCTGTGACAGGCAAGAGTATCACAGCACTTCCCTGCACAAGTGAAGACTTGGGGTGATACTTCTGTGTTTCTGGTTCACAATGACATCGTTCTATCTGGGATCCAGGGATAAGGGTAGGGGCACCCAGGGACGTCTGTATACAATCCTATCCGAAATTCAATGCTTTTGGTTTGAGAGCAAGTGAGCCTCGCATAGCAAGCTAGAGAGAAGGAGGGAGAAAATTTATGTGTTTGTGTCTTGAGGGGTGTCTACGCACACATGCATGTGAATATGTGATATGTCTAAGCGTAGTGGTGGTGTGCCTTTTTCTGGACACTCTACAGGTTTTGTTAAGATTCTGAAAAAAATCCCCTGTGCCCTGCAAACATCAAAAAGTTCTGCCCACCAATGGGCAGAAGTGGGTTTGGGAAAATGTACACCTACCCTCAGGGACAGGATACCCTACAGCTCCTGCAGGAGGCTATTTAGAGACTCTGTTTCTGAGCCATCACACCACACCACTTCTCAGCTGGAAATCACAAACACCAGCAATCTCCTGAAGGGGCGTGGGGAGATTTCACCCAAGATTTCCACATATCCCACCTGTGAAGAGAGACCTGCTTCCTCTAAACAACTCTCCTCAGAAGGCAGGCTGAGAAGCCAGGTTACCCCTAGGTGGGCTACAAACTGACTCAGCCTAGCATAAGGAGCCTGATCTTAACTCCCGACACCTCTGCCCACAGCAGCAAGTGCCTCTCTCCAGCGCATGCCAGGCCTCACGCGACCTGGGAGGGGAGAGGAGCTCAGACTCCCAATGCATCCGCTCGCCCAACCACACCATGGGAAATGTGGTGCCCAAGCTGTGCTTGAGAATTACATAGTCACCTGGCAGTTTAATTCTATTAAGCTGTAATTTTGTTATAGAAGCAGTTTCCACAGAAGATACGTTTCTTATGCCAATACTCATACGCTAACCACCCTCTTATTTGAGAGCTCAGGAAAAACGTGCAAAACTTCATGAAAGTACATTTCAGGTTACTTACTGCAAACCCAAAAGCAGAGGCGCTGTACCTCATAACGGAGACAGCTAAAAAGAAAGAAAATATTATTCAGAATATTTTAAAACTTCTCTCATTTGTGAGTATATTAACACATTTGACACGGCCTTTTAAATATCAGTGGAAAAATTCCAAGAGAATGAAACTAAAACTTAACTGTACTTGTAAAATCTTTAAAAAAAAGTGAAGAGTGAACTGAAAAGATTTCCAGCCTCCACCTGCAACCGCTTCCTCTCCACAGTGTTCTGAAGCACCCACGGGCCAACTTTGGAATAAAACTGCTCAAGCAGTTGTCAATCAAATGACTTCTGAGACCTTAAGAATTTAGCAATCGAGAACAGAGAATCGGGAACTAAATCAAATTTTTCAGAGTGAAACTGTAACCACCCAAACTGTTGCCATAATTAGGTAATTAGTGGTGGTGTGTAAGGCACACACCATTTCTAATATAGTTGAAAAATATCTTTTGCCCACTAGAGTTTAAAACCCAATGTAGACATCAATATAGCTATTTAGAAAAACAACAAAAAAAGATCTTAAACAAAAGATGTCTACTAATAAAGATGCCTACAGATGTAGATTGCCATGAGTATAATTAAGACATGCTATCCATATTAAAGAATTTGGGGCAAGTCAGTTGGGCTGCATTTTGCCTAATGCTGTTCTATACCAAAGCAGCTTCAAAGACATAACCAGGGCAGATCTCCAAACAAAAGCCATATTTAACAAGCATATTACTCCCTCCAACAGAGACCAAAACCCCACCCTAGGGGTCAGCAAAGCTTTGAAGGAAGTGGCTTGCTCCCAGCCAGGTCCCCCCAGGGCTCACTCATGGAGCCTAAGAGGCCAGGGAGAGAGGCAGAGGCCCACACCCACACAGACTTCCCATTCAGCTGGTCACAGTGTCCCTTTTCTAGGACCTACTTGCTGTCCTATCCACAAAGCCCAGAAACAGCTTAAGCTTAAGCTATAAGGAGGTCACCTAACCCAAAACTGAGTTCATTTTCTGTGATTCAGGAATTGAGATTGAGAGAGAACTGAAACTTGTAAACACTGGAGCTGTCGTCAGACCTCACTGGCTATAAAGGGTGAGGAGCAGAAGGCGGGTACAGGGACGCAGAGCCCTGGGGGGAGACAGGACCACTGGCTTCTCAGCGTCCCCAAGTCCTTCCTGAAACCCAGCCACATTCCAGTCTCCAGGCTGTGAGAGGCGGAATGCAACCGCTCCACCCTGACTGCCTTTGTTTCTGACCCAGCGGCTCCAGGTGTTCCTGCTGCTGCTCTTCCTGGACAGGGAGAGGTGCAGGGCCAGCCGTGCACAGTGGTCGGCTAGAGCTTTCACAGGCCCCACTGGTGTGGGGGCATAAAGGGACAGTGGACTTTTCCAAAGAACATCAACTCACAGACCATGTAGACATGTGCAAAAAGGGCAGCTGACCCTGGCAGTGCTGCCCTGAGCACCAAGATGCCTTGCAAAATGCTGAGCCGGCTCGCGGTAAGTGCTCGGTCAAGCCCAACAAATTCCAGAGAAACAAGTCAGAGTGTATCTGGGTTTTTTCCCTTTACTACCTGTCTTTAGAACATCTTAGCTGTGTATTTTTGCGGGTTCTTCATCAGCAGTGGCAACCTTTTAACTCCCAGTATCTTGCATACATATGCTCAATATCTACAACAGACCAAGGAAGAGCTACCCACTGGGGCTCCCCCTGCATGTTCACTGTGCGCTCTGCCCGGCACCCTGGAGAGGCCACAGCTAGAAACGCGCTCCCCTCCCCTTGCCATCCCTGAAGACCACTTGCCAAGCAGTAAACCATTACTTTAAACATTTTCCTCTGAGTTATTTGTTACCACCAGACGTTTATATAAGTGGGCTACAGATTTCAAAAGTGGTGGACACCCACTTGATCATACTGAGAAACATCAGCAGCCTTGTTTCAGGGATCTGGAATCAAACAAAGGCGATGACCACTAAATGGTGGGGTTTCCTGGACTCAGTCGGCAGAGTCCAGTGTCTATGATTTCAAACACTCTCGAGACTATACTGGAAAATTCTGCTTGTGTGAATTAAGCCTGCCCAGTGGATGGACATTCTAGAGCAGAAGTGGAATATTATCATTGTTCTGTCCCCTGTGCACCAAGGAAAATGAGAGCAAGATGGTCCAAATTAACCCAGAGTCCTTCAGAGAGATGTAGCATTTACTTATAAATTGGTTCCATCTCATTTCCTTGATGAGATGGAAAGGGGGAAATGCCAGAAATTGCATGGGGAATCGAGAGTGCTCTGAAGGGCCCTCCACAGGCCTCGGCTCTGGCAGCTTCCTTTTGTGGCCAACTCCTTGGCTCTTGCTACTAAAAAATAGCAAATAGTCATTAGCACAGGACCCAGTGGAAGAGTTAAGACAGCCTTTTAGAAATTTCTGAAGTAACTTCATTTTCTTTGTTACATAACTCACCACAACACATTCTGATTCTGAGATAAGAACAAACTCAATGGAAAGAGTCAGACTGATGTGATAGCCCTTGCTCCCACAGAAATACCAAGCAAACTGTGGGGACATTGTCTACTTCCACTGGGCTAAGAACAAAGTCCACCTGGAGGACAGCAGTCCTGGGCCAGGATGGTCACTTGAGGCAGACCCTGGAGCTCAACACACATGTGACTAAGCACAGTGGAAAGCCACCACAGGGTCAACAAAGGCTGCTGCTGCCTTTAAGACAAGTGCTAGAGGTAAGACGGGACCACGGAGAGACGGGCAGCCATGGTATTGGGTGCCATGAGGAACGGCAGGTCTGGGAGGGTTCTAGCTAGTATGGGTGCAAACAAAATGGGGAATTCAGAAGAGGCTCCACTAATAAGGTGACATTTGAGCAAAGACTTGAAGAAGGGGAGAGAGTGACCCATGCTGTTAACAGGAGAAGAATCTTCCAGACAATGGGAAGAGTCGGTGCAAAGGTCCTGAGGTAGAGCCTCTGGCATGTCTATGGTCAGTTAGGGTAAAGTCAATGGGATTAGGAGAATTATGTGAGATAATTAGGGCAAGATACAAAATAATGTCTGTGATGTGACTAGCTTTCTGTAAAATTGTGGTTAAAAAAATACATTTTAAAAAACTAGGAAAAAAATTTCCTCAAATGAAAGCAGTCGTGAATCCTTGAGGCATAGGACTACTGGAGTAGATTTTCTTTCTACTTTTTTGTATTTCCGTATTTTCTACAACTATCATTTATAACCATTCAAATCAGAAAAAGAATCAATTTGATTTGGGGAAAACTTACCTAACTCATAAAATATATATAACCAAAGGTCTAAAATAGAATAGAAACCAGATTTGTGATGCATATCTGGGGATAGGCTGCACTGTGGACTCAAGAATGCTTCTGGCTAACAGGAAAGCATATTGCCATACATGTTTTATTACGTCTTAGTTTCTGAAATCCATCTTTCTAGGTCAAATCACCTGCACACATGGGTTGCAAAGGACCCAAACGGTCATGGAAACACAGTGAAGGGCTCGGGGCAGGAGACAAGCAAAGTGTCACTCCCAGTCTGAGGGACCTGCTGCCTCCTAGAATTTTGCCTGTCCTACACTCTACTTTCATTTACATGTCAAAAGGGTAATGACAGCTATACTCCCAGAAGCACACACACAGAAGTCTTAAATAAATATTTGTACAGATCTGGTTAAAAGACCAGACCTTCTTTAACTAAGTCACACTCTCACCAAGCCAGAAAGCATATCAGCTAGAAACTCAAATTCAAACAGAAAGACAGCTGGAAAGTGGACAGGACCCAGGCAACCCATTGTTAGGTCAAAGCCAAATGCAAATCATGCAGCTGAATCATCAGCAGGCTTTCAGGAAGGGTTGTGGGAGCTTGAGACAAAGTGCCTTGGAAATGCACAGGGAGGTGAGGGTGCCAGCAAGGATCAATGCAGACAGCCCCTCGACAAGCCAGACAAAGAATGCCCTTTCAATTGCTGGCTAGATTTGCAGCAACAATGAGGACCCATCTGTCATTCTCTCCAAAGCCAGACAATAATTATCCTGAGCCTTAGCACACTTTAGCAATGCCCCAGGCCCCATAACACCTCCAAGTTGCTAAATTATGTGACCAGTAAAGCTAAGTTAATAAATCAATCCCACTTTAATTAGATTGCCTCTACCACTCAGACACCTGGCAACAACCTCACCCACAGACATGTAACTAACCCAATGGAGAACCATGTCTCCATCACCCACCTTGAGTTGGAGGCTTTTGTGCCTATTGGGACCTAGGCAGCAGAACAGGTGACACTGAGAGGGCTCAAAACGTATTTATGTTCTAACTTAACAGAACTGCCAATAACTTCCAGACTGTCCTGCTCAAACAAGATTAGAACACATTGCTGGACGTGGTGGCTCACACCTGTAATCCTAGCACTCTGGGAGGTTGAGGCTGAAGGATCCCTTATCTCTACTAAAATAAAAATTTAAAAATTAGCTGGACAATGTGGTAGGCACCTATAGTCCCAGCTATTCCAGAGACTGAGGCAGGAGGATCTACTACAAAAATTAGCGATAGGCTGTTCAACACAGTTATCACTGAGGGGGAAGAAGGAAAAACTACTTTGAAAAATAAATCAAGAAAGCTATTGCATAGTCCATTAAGCTACTCATCTTCAGCTGCAGCACAGTGGCTTGACATTTTCTTTTTTTATCTGTCTAGAAAGACTAGAATTTGCAAAAGGACTGCCTGAAAGTAAAATCCACAAGTTTCTGTTTGGTCTACACAGCATTAAGTCCAATATCAGAATCGGCTACCAGATTGGTTTTTAAAGCAATCATCACATTCTGCAAAAAAACCAACAAAACCAACCTGGATGTTTGTCTTCTCTCAGAAACCAAGATCTGCCCGCCTGGCTGTCCCTTCTCCCACAGAGCCCCATGCTGCACTCAGATGGGGCATGTGCTCTTGGGTACCTGCCTCTCCCACAGCCCGACAGCCAGTCTGCCTGCCTCATCTCCTCTACTCTCCTGCTCCTGTGGAAGG